TGTATATTTTGAAAATTTAAACTTAGTTAAGTATATTCTTCTCGTAAACAACATTTTTCAAAAATTTTCTTTTGTTTGAGAGTTAAAAGTACTATATTTCGATTTTTATGACTTTATTTTTTTCGTTTTATCTCGATAGTTTTGTGTTTGTTTTTTTTTTGTCTTCTCTGTAGCAGGGAATTGGCGAAAGCAGAGGTTTATGATTTTGGAACTTTAAAAGTAGGGGTTGGAAAATTTTAACTTTTTCTTTTTCTTCATAACAAAAAGAAACTTTTCTTTTTCAAGATAGTTGAGAATGAAAATATGAAACGAAAAAGATGCTTACAATATTAATAACTAATTAATTAATCAATCCTGTAATTAATCCATTAATTTTTTTCATTGTTTTTTTGCTGTCGATATATATATATATATATATATATATATATTTCCTATAAATTCTCTGTCATCTGTGTCATTCATGTCTCTTAGCTCGCAAATATTATAATATAGAAGTTTTATTTTTATTGAAAGCTCAAAAATTATATATATATATATATAAATATACAATATATAGACGTTATTTTAAAGAATTTAAGTGATTTTTCACTGGATTTTTTATTAAATCATTTTTATTTATATATATATATATATATATATATATAAATACATATTATTTATTGTAACAAACAAAAAATTTTTTTTAACATCAACAACACTATCAATAAATGTAATATTTTCAATAGTAACATTAATTTAGTGATCGATCTATACTATATTTAAGAGTAGGCATACATACATACATACATACATACATACACACACACATATATATATAAACATATACATACGTGTGTACACACGCATACATGTACGCATACATACATTGACATATATATATGTACATATATATATATATATGTATATATATATTGGTATAACTATTTTATACTTTTTTATTGCGTACACACATTATAAGATGTTTTAATGTTAGCCTTGAATTGTCATATGTTATATTTTTAATATTTTATTTTTATTATATACTGTAATATATATAATATATGATATATATATATATATATACTATATATTTGCTTTATATGTATTATATATATATATACATATATATGATATACACACATCATTTTTCATCCTTCTATTACTTTTATTTACACAATTTTTAAAAGTATTAATTCCTTTCCATTTTAATAATTGACACTTTTCAAGTTTTTTTTGCGCTTATTTTTGTTTAATTCGTTTTGTATATACATATGGACATTTATATATGTGTATATATATATATGTACATATGTATATATGTACATGTATGTATATATATATATGTATATATATATATATACATGTATGTATATGTATATATATATACATACATGTGTGTATACATACACGTGTTGGAAATTATTAAGTTTTTTAATTAATCTTTTCTCGGTTGATTGTTTACAAGTTTGCTTTTTCTCATTATTCTGATGGAAAATAAAACAAAGTTTGATTTTTGAGATGTGTTTGCTGCTTGTTTCTGTGTCCGTGTGCTATTCTGTTTTCTTCTAGATTGATATCG